CGCACTTGGGGAAGGGGCAGAAGGAAGGGGCACTTTCTTGGTGCCAGGTTTTAGCCCAGAGAGGAGGCACATTCAGAGTTCACACTGCCACTGCGTGAGATCACACCACGGGCTATAAGGCCGAGACATCCAGCCGTAAAGAGGGGCTAGCACCTGGGAATGCTGCGATGCTCACACAACCTCCCTAAGCACATCAAAGTGCCTCGCTTTATTTCATTTATCGCGCCAAACTCGCACTCAGAAGTGTTAGGTGAGCAAGCGCCCCTTTTGCTGCTCCTACCCCCTCCCCTGTTCTTGCATAGAACAGCTGCTGTTTCCACTGTAGGAAAAAAAGAAAAAAAAAAAAAGGCAAATTAAGGGAAAACTTGAAGAGCGTGGCTTAGTTCTTCCAGCTGAATTATAACCCTGCCATTACCTGCCTAAAGTATGTTTTTAATCTGATTGGCAGAGAGAGGTCATACTGCATAATCACATTTAAGTGCCTTCCCCTATTAATACAGCTCTTAGTCTCAATAAATAGTTAACACTATATATTATGGCTACCGTATATTAAAAGGCATGGCACGGCATTTTTCTCATATAACACTGCATAAACACATTTTTATGCAGCGTGTTTTCTATTCTATGTGGAATTGCTTGAGGAAATATTCTGAGGGCTCTCCAAAATCCGAAGAGGATGCACGTCGTGCATGCTCCGTCTCTGTGCTCCCATCCCACTCACTCGAGTGAGATTAGCACCCGGACCAGCCGGCGAGAGCCCACTTGACAGGCCCACACAGTTTAGATTCATAATCAGATTAACAAAACAGTAATCCTATTTTTAAATGATGAAAAAGCCAAGCCCTTGAAGCGGTGAGCTGTTTTGTGTGCGTACAGAATAGATGTTGTCCTTTTGGAATAAAGCAGCTTAATACCAAAAGAAAAAAGTTTCTTCCACAGGGAGACTACCCTATAGAGGAAAGAGGGACTATCCTGCATGATAAACACTTCTTTTTCCCATTGGTTTTGATCTCCAATTTTTCCACAGTGATGAGCCCGTTCTAATACCTACAGGATGTACCTTCTACAATACATATTCTTTACCATATTTTAAAATAATAGTTAAAGAAGTGGACTACTTCTCAAGTGCTCCAGAAACCTTAATTATTAATGTTCCAGTACTTAAACTGATACTTTACAAACTACCCAGGCACTGGAAAATGAGCATACTTCATACATTCAAGGTAACAGACTCGTGGTGGAAAAAATCTAGCTGGGCAACCAGCAGCATTTGTCTCTGTCACGGTATTTCCAGCACCATTGCATTTTCCCAAATGATGCAGAAACTCCTTTCCCAGCTCCAGCACCCACTTTTTTTTCCCTCCCCATCCTCTTCTGGTCCTGCCCCGGACCAGTCCCAACCTTTCCTCTCAGCTGAATCGCTCAGAAGATGCCAGATCAAGGGACAAAAAAGAAATGTCGCCGGTTGCTGCTTGCTGGAAGGCCAGACCAACATTGCCATCCTACGGCCCAGCCCCGCAGTGCAGCGGCCGCACCGCGCCCGGCCCGCCGGGGCCGAGGGGCTGTCCTGGGTCGCCTCTGCCTTTCCCGCGCAGGGAACCCGATTTAGGGCTTTGGAGGCGTGCGAGGGGAAGGAAAACCCTCCTGCTCAGCACACAGCTCCTCAGTTGCCTGCTCAAGCCTCCCGTTCTCATCGGCTGGGGGGGGGCTGGCTGGCGGTAGCAGCGCTGCCACGGCGCATCGAGGCGTTTGAGGATCGGAAGGGAAGGTGACGTATTTTTAACTCACTACCGCCAGACTGGAGTCAACAAACTGTTGAAAAAGTCTAGAACGTGTATTTAAAATGCAAGCATCCAGATGCAATATACCCAAGAAGCAGAACAGCTAACAAAGCGGCGATTACAGTACTTAACAAGCAGTAAGCTGAATTTACAGGGAATGTTACCCCTCTAGTACGTGACAAAGTAAAGCTTTAGGACCCAGGCTTGGGGTTTGGTTTTTTTTGAAAGTGCATCTTGTAGGCCAGCCTAACAGTAGCTCCCCATTTTAATGCACGCAACAGAGCAGCAGAACTAGATTGAAAGGCCAGGTATTTCAGTATATCCATTTTCCTTCCATTCTCTTTAAATAGACTTTTCTGAGTTCTTTTCCTTGCCATTCCTACATTAATGTTACCCACGGTACCAGCTCTGAAGCTCAGCTTGATTAACAGCACACAGAAAGAATCTTGATCAGTAAACTATGGTAGACACAGAGGGAGGAATGAAATTATTAATTTATCAGTGCAGATCTTGCTCCGTGCTGAAAGTGCTTTTTAGCAGGTACGCACTTCAAAACGCAAATGATCACAGAAAAAAAATAGACATCAGAGCAGCGGCTGCATACCTACCAGCCCCTCGCAACAGGAATCTGCAATAAAAATGTGGATATTCACCACCAAAACTGAGCTGAGGAGACCTACTCCATCGCAGCCATTGGTTGCTTCATAAAAACTGATGGAAGTTTTTGAAGTCGCTGGCTCTGGAGCTGGGAATATGGGCAGGGTGTGTGTCAGGCTTGGAACAGCTGGCTTGGAAGCTCACACAAAATCAGCTACAACGGTGCAACTGGGCCAGGACACCACCCAGCCAGCGGCCGTATGCTTTTCCTTTGTGGTTGCAGAGCTGGTCCAAAAGCTAAGCTTTCATTCCAAAAGGGGGAAAGAAAAAAAAAAAAAGTCTTCAGCCCGTCCAAGTCTAGACTGGCTTTTTCTACAGTTGGAAATTATATAGTTTCAGTGTTCAGCGAGAGCGTGGACAGAAACACGCTGTGCCCCGCTCTTGGCTAACCTGATCCCTGAAAAGGTGTCACCTTTTAGCCTGTACAAGAGCAAAAATCGTCCAAAGGATGGATCTGATCTGATGTAGAGATGTGTGCTGGTGTGCAGCCAGGCTTGAAAAAACACAACCGCCAGAGATAGGAACTGCGTCATTGAGCGCAGGAGGCATAAAGGACAGCATTAGGATGGTTTAAGTGCAGCCATTAACCGTAGCGCTGCTGGTAAAACATGCGGGAGACTGTCACGCTGGATGCCATCCTCGTTCAGAGAGCTCTCTGAACGCAAATGCTCTCTTTAGCCATCTTCCTGGGGAGGGGAAAAAAAGACACAAAAGCCAAGAAAAAACAACCTAACCCAAACACCTGACTATCAGCTGACTATCAGCACAGTCTAAGGATTAAACCAGACTGGGCACAGAGCAACAGCAGAACAGCCCAATTCCTTGAGTTTTGAGTCAAAATAGTACAGAACTGTGTAAAACACAGTAGTTTGTATGTGTTAGTACTAAGATTTCACACCTGCATTCAGACTCCGCTAGGAGAGCAGTTCCTTGCAGATATGGGTGCAATTATCATTTTCATTCACACTGATCTTTGAATAGCACACGGGTAATTCCGGAACACCTGGGAACAGCTCTGCTGACAGATTCCCTGTTTGCCCTCACTCCCCCAAGTCCACCTTCTGTTGTTCATTACTAAAAATTTCCAGTATAAGAAACATATTTTTTTTAAACAACCAAGTATGCAATGCAATATCACTCTTAAAAGCTGTCCCTCATTTCACAATGTTTTTGAAAGGCATAAATAAAGCCAAATAAATTTTATGAGAGTGACAACATGTTTTTTTGTTCAGTTTTAATTCCGGTACTTAGTATCTCCTGATGAAAATACTTAAGAGAACTATGCATAAACTAGACCTCATCTGCAATTTAAAGAAAACAAAAAACTTCGCCTTTCAGATGATTTATATGCTGGAGGAACAATGAAAAATACTTAGCTGCATTTCTCGAGCAACTAACATTTTCAGGATTTTTTTGTGCCTCTGAACACTTGCTTGACTTAGGATTTTTCAATACCCAAAACAGATTACTCTTCAGTGGCTAAGTAACATTATACGGCAGTTTAATAGCATTGTATGAACTCTTAAGTTTGTTAGCTAGCTTCTTCCAGATAAAGGTATTTCCAGAACATCGGCATCAGTAGAGTAAGAGGCTTCTTGCATAACTGTTGTAAGTGGGGAGAAAAAAAAATCTGAAGGCTTTTTAATATGAACTTTCATAATTCAAGTTCTTGGGAATTCATACCAAAGTAGGAACAATGGATTGATTAAATAGTTCCCTTTCACCTAATGCCTTCTGCATGCTTCACTTTTCACTATAAAGCAACATGCAACCACCTTTCCATACTTGTTTGTGGTCAAGGGAGAGCTTTCTATTTGATGTCAGAGGAAAAACCCTTCCCTCTGCTTGTGCAGGTTGCGAGCCAAAAGAGAAGTTTTACAAACTGAGGTTCTTCCTCCCACCTTGGTTCAATAGCTTAGAAGTGTCTGATCAAGAAAAACTTAGGGACTTGAGATTTAAAATAAAAAAAATTAAGGGAGAGGGAAGGTTGAAGTTTCCAGAAATATGTAAATCATTTCATTCTCACTGGATATGTCTTAATAAATCTTAGAATTGGGCAAAAATCCATATCCCCAGTCTCAGCCAGAAGCAAATCTTGAGACACAGAGAAAGATTAGCCTATGCTCAGTTCAGACCTGCTTATTTATTTCTTAAAATGTTATTACTGAATTAAACCAACCCATTCTTACCATTTTATCAACACAAGGAATTCTGCTTCTTTAAGAAAACAACCTCCCCCAGTTGTTTTTCTGAAGACGACACCTCAGTCTGTTGCCTATTTCCCCAACACAAGGGGAAAACGTTCCCCAGAGGCACGAGTAAGATAACAACTTAGTCCTCTTTACTGATGAAGAATCTTCAGATCTTGAAAATACCCTTCCCCACCTCTATTTTTTTTTTTTTTTTGCCTTATTAAAGATTAAAACCTGAAGTTACATACACCGGTCTATGTTACAACAATGGAAAATTAAGTTTACATACCAAAATGCACAGAAGCCAGGAAATGACAACTAGTTTCCATAGAAACCTTAATAGCCTTCTTACTTCATCTTCTACACGCACTTGAACACGCGCTTCATGGGTCTAAAGTAAAAGGTTCTTCGCCTTTCCATTTCATTAGCTGGCAACTTTAAAACTTACTAGTAACATGCTCCTGTTACATTTATAGTCAAGAGAAAAATCACAGATCACCTGACATATAGAGCAGCATCTATATACATATAAACAGTGTATTCAAAGTTGGCACTCATAGGTGTTGAGGAACACAAATATTCCAAGTGTAAGTATTTAGAAACAAGTGTTCAAGCAGCCCTAAGCTATGCTAATGAAACACTGATATGTACTTTAATGCCTACATGCAAGCTCAGAAACAGTAATCGGACACAGGGCACGTGTCGTACACTGACAGGAACTGTTTCACTCTTTATCAAGGACAGCCTGGACTTTACTCGTCTTTTGCATTTTGTGCTAGAAAGCCTATCAAGGGGATGGGATGTTTGGAAAGCTCATTTACGATGACTAGCTCTAACTTTATTTTCTATCTACAGCGCTGGGTATACACCAGAAGGATGAAGACCACATATGCTTCAGATACTTAATCCTTACAGTCCCTCACTTGCAAGTTTCACACGTTTGCTAGGTTCCCACCCTGAGACACGTTCAGAACAGAAGGTAGTACAAAGTAAGTTCTTAACGTCCCTGAGGTGTAACCCCGATGCTGCATTGCTAAAGCTATACACAGTCCTGCTGCCCAAAACACAGCGATCTCAGTGCAGTTTGCGGCTTCTCTTTTCCCTTTGAATATCTTGCAGTGTTTGAGTTGACCATGCCTATGTACGCCCTCCTCCTCAAACCATATTTGTCGACAGTAATTTGGAAAGAAACCCACTCTGCTCTGTTAGAGCAAAGGCCTTTCTTACATGTTTTCTTGATTTAGGTTCAAACACAGCTGGAGTGCTTAACGACCAGCAGTGCAGTCTATGCACGTTCAGAATCACTTACTGGGGGCGGGGAAGAGAACAGGGAGTTTCACTTTTTAAACTTGGGAAAACTTGATTTGGTCTTAACCTGAAGGTGATTCTTCTGAAGTCATGATGTGGAACACAGAACACCCAAATAAAACGAACCTGTTAAAAGCCAAAAGAACAGCTGAAAATCCCTTTTGTTTATGGAGGTAGTCAAATGAAAATCATTTCATTTGATCTCTCATCTTGCTTTATACACATTTATTGCACTAGAACATATGCCTTCTATATAAAAAGATGCTGTAGAAAACCACAAGATTGTAAATACTAGATTTATGATTTGTTTGCAATTGTATTTAATATTAACAGTATTTTGTTTTTACAAAGCAGTTGAAATTAAAAAAAAAAAGAATAGCAAGAACCCCCCCATCTGCTGTCTAGCATCAGTAATCCTCACTGGTTTGTTTACCATTTATAAGGAAAACATCATTCAAGGTAGCTTGTCACAGAGACTCTTTACAATAACTGGCCTGTGGTGCAAATTCCTGGCGTTTGTCAGTTCATCTGTTTTTTCTGAAAGTCCCTCCTTCTATAATTCAAGGTATCTGCCGATGACAATATTCCTCCCTTCTAAAGTACCTTCCAGCCAAACACAGTAAATCTGGTAACGCATGCCTGAGGATGGTAAATATCCTCATTTTACAGCGGTAAACTGAGCCTAGATAATTAAATTTGCCTGAGGCCAGTCTTTTGAATAGCCAGCCACAGAACCCAGATCTCACAATCCCAGGTGATTCACCTTGGCTGGAGACTACACTTCCTCTCTACAGAAGGGTGAAAATTAACTGATTACACTGAAATTGTTTCTTTCTTCATCCTAAGAGGATCAGGTATTTTTCTTGTGTAGTATCAGCTTCTGCGTTACTATTTGGAAATGGTGTAAACCTGTTTTCAAGTTAACACCTGCACTAAGCCCAGTCCCCAAGGAGTCACTGTGACATGCAATCTGTAGGCAGTTAGACAGTGGGTAAGATCAAGCCTGCTAGTGACATGAGACACTAGGGAGGTTAGCCTCATCCACCTGCTGACGGGCCTCTCCGGCCTGGTCTCCAGGAACAAGTTCCGCCTCCTTCTCCAGACAGGGGGTTATAGCCTAGAAGTACAGAGGAGAAATCCACCGTATCAATATTGGTCCTCAGCAGGCCTTCACCAGCACACGAAGAACACCAAAAGTAAATCTCACAGTTATTTGCACCTTGTTTATACTTACTACATAGGCAGCATTTTAAGGAAAGTGAAAGCAGAGAAAATATCCAGACTTGAGATGGTTTATTTTTGCAGCGCTAACAGTAAAAGCCATTGCAAAACACTCGTGTTTTAATTTGATCAATTTGGATTAAATTAAATTGAAATTAATTACCATTTAATTTCTCTAAGTCTTCATTAAAGCTTTAATGCTGCTCTGCGGAGTAAACAGAGCAGGAGCAGTAACAGTAACTCTTACAGTAAACTCTGTAAGAGTGTATCTGTTCTCCAAGAGCCCTAACAGTTAGGGACTTAAAATAATCTTTTAGTCCAGTCCTGCAAGGAATACTCTGAAGGTCAAAAGGTGGATCCACTCATTACTACTGTAAGACTTTTTTTAAAAGAATTTCAAATAATGCCATAACTATAGGCAACTTCATTTTACGAGTATGTACTTGGAAAGATACAACTTGGCAAACGTCCTCAATTTGTTCTGTACAAGGCAAAAAAAGAGAAAACTGAAAACCTAGCAGCCTTGCTAACCGAGCAGGTTTCAAAGCAACCTGTTCCAATGAAACTTCAAGCATCACCTCCATCTTTGAAGTTTTTTTTTCCTCATACTAGCCAAGTTCTGCTTTCTAGCTTAATTCAGCAGCTGAACAGTGCAGATGGTTCTTTCACTTTGTGCTGATCCACCTCATGAGAAGATCAGAGATCTCTAATTCTAACGTCTGTTACTTAAGCAAAGATTTTGCTTAGGATAAAACTAGGACAGGTAGCAGCTGGAAGGGTGCCTCAGCCCAGCTGCCCTGATCCTGGTTCTTAGCACAGCTATTACCCATGCGTTTCTCATCCCCCATAGTGGCGAATATTCTGTGCAAGAGCTGTAAAAGATATTTGACAGTATCAGACATTAGACTGCACTCATATTAAACGACATAAGATGAATCAATCGGTCAGTTCCTTCAGATGTTGCCAAAAGCTGTTAGTAAAAAGCAGAACTTTCAGCACTGAACTATTATTGAGGCTTAGTGTGTTTAATCAAGAATCTTCAGGTTTTATACATTTAGTCAAGTGACTTAGTGCTGCACCCTAAGTGGGTTTCCCTTTTAGTCTGATACAATTGAGGCTGTCTAGATGGTGCCCCTCCACTATGGAAAACTGTAATTAAAATATCATACCCAAATTAGCACTTGCAGGTACTGCACAGGCTGTTTGGCCAAGAGGAGAGAAAGGAGACTAGCTGCATGGGTGATACATGGCAGCGATCCTAACGTGGGCTATGTAAGGCCATAGAAAGCAGTTCATCCATCAAGATGATTTCAGCAGGTGACAGTGATTTTAATGATAAGACCCTCCGGCAGTTTGCGAGAGTCAGTAAGAGTTTATACATATGCAGGATTTATACATTCAACAGGTCATTATTGTGATGAATAAGATCACATTTTGCTTAATGAAGTCTTTCATCTTCCTGAATCTACATAATACAAAGTAAAATATCCTCTTCCTGCACTTAGTTAGTACTACAGGTGATTGAAAGACAGACCAGATATTAAAATATTGGACTTTTACAATAATGGGGGAGGGATCCAGAAGTATCTTAAGAATCTATAATTTTGACTGACAAAAATCTCAGTAAATTATGGCAAAAGCATTTAGAAGAACACTGAAACACTACTTCTCAGGGGAAAAGCACCATAGAAACGTCCTGCTAGGTGTTGCACAAAGTGCAAAGCAGACCACGCTGATTAGAGATAAAGAGCTCGTTTGTAAGGCACATTTTGCTTCCTCCTTGAAGAAGAGAAAAAATATGTACAACGACTACGCACGCAGCTGGATAAATGCTCTGTTTCAAGCTCAGAATATCTTAAGCATTTCATACTTACCACCTCCTCGCAAGGGCTTTTTGTTTGGTTTAGACTTCGGGACTGCTGATGAGGTGGAGGCACCAGATTCTACTTCCTGCTGTTCACAAAAGCAGAAGTTACTCAGAATTTAACCAACGTGAATTTCAGCTAATCTAATCACATAAACATAACTGTAACCTGATTAACACCACAGTTGTTACCTGATTCAGTTTCAGGTTTCCTTTATAGCTTTTTCCTTCTTGCATACTTTCCCACATTGCTATCTTCTGCCTTCGCTTCTCTTCTTCAAGCTAAGGAACAAATCCAGGATATGCAAGACTAAGATTTCAGAACTAATAGAATCGCCAGTGCTACAGAAACAGCTACAACAGACTCATCAAAAACCAAGGGATCTATCTTTATCTCATGCAGTATCTCTGACCTTATGGAAGCATTTACTTTTCTAAGCACCCATGTCTTCCCAACCACAGAACAACCACTCCTCCCTCAACATATACAGACTGTGTCTGCAGCTTCTTTTGACCACTTGATGCTTTAAAACATTTTGAAAGTAAAACAGAACCAAGTGGCAAGCTTAAATCCTGAGTTTATAAAAAGTACTGAGTAAAGAATATTGCATATGATAGTAATTTTATGCACAATGTAGGGTTCTACAGAAGAAAGTGTGTTTTTCAAACGAACAAGACAGCCAGCTACATATTTACATCCCAATATACATTACCAACAATTCTCCCAGCTCTCTTCTAAAGCAATTTATCCACAAAACCAAATAAATTAATGCTTGAGACAGACCGCCACCTTCTCAACAAATAGAAAGGAAACAAGGTAGCTACTCCACCCAATCAAAGAAAGCAAAGCTCCCCGAGTCCAAGCACGCTAGACCTAGATTTTCTACATAGTGGCTATTTTCTTCCACAATATGACTTTTCATTCGTTTTTAACTGCCAATATTTCTTGAAGCATCAGCTATAAACTGAGGTCTGAATGTAGCTGACTGCAAAAGTAAAAACAGAAGAAGAGCTGGGATTAATGAGCAATATTACTGCTATGCTGATCACATCCACTTTTCTACGCCGCCCCACAGAGCAATATGCTGTTCCTCACTATCTCAAGCTGTAGTTCAAACCATTAAATTACAGCAATGCTAAGCTACGTTTCTAAGAACTTATATTTGCCATTAAGAACAGAAAATACATGTATGCAGTAGTACAGTTAGTCTAAACGCCAGTAAATCCCCCCTCCAGCCGTTCACTGCGCATATAACTAAGTTTCTGTAGGTACAGATTTACCTGCAAAAAGAAAAAAGATCAGGCCCACAGTGTCCCCCACACACAATTACTTGCGGAGAAGCAAGTACCAGAGAGATTAATTACTTCAGGAAGGAGCAGAATACTACCCATATCAATCATTCTAATCAATGAAGAGCATCAAGACATCAGGTCGGCACAGCATATAAGTATGTGCTTGCATCTCTGATGGAGGTCCATCATACTCACTGCCCATTACTGCTCTGTGGGTCAAACCGTATCAAAAGTGGTCCAGGTAAAGGCGGGGGGAAAAACCCACCACCCACATTCCAGCAGAGAGAGCGAGTCTCCTGTTCTGGTATCTATCATGGAATAAATCTTTCCATAACAGCAGCAAAGTACTTGTCAACAAATTTATGAGTTAAAGAGTTACCTGTCTCTGTTTTTCTTTGTATCTTTCTGCTTGTGCATTCAATTCCTCTTGCATCCTGAGGCGAGCCGCTGCCAAAGCTTCCTGCCTTCTTACCACCATGTCAGGTTCTAGGAAATTGGGAAAGAGATTGCAAAGCTATTCAAAATAAATTCTAAATGGTCTCCTCAAAGAACTGTAATAAGGAAAGGCTCACATCTCTCCCTGCAGCTGTTTTGCAGAAAATCACAGCTCAAGTTCAGTTACCAGCTAATCTTTTACAGTAATTTATACACTGATTTAAATTTCATAACATTTTAATATTTTTAGAGCAATTACTTTAATGGGATTTTAATGAATAAGGACACCGATATAACGACCCCATAAAAAAATAAAATTAACACTTCTAGGATACTTGCTTCTATTTCTGAAGGATTTGTTTGATACAAGTAATTTCAGAAATATCACCCATGCTTCACAGGGATTCCATTTTTACCCAGAGAACTTCTTTCACGCAGAAGCATGAGGCAACCGGCCCACATTCACTCCCACTCCTGGCAATTGGTCCTGCTTGTTTCATTATGGCAGTGAAGCAGTGACAGATTTAACGTGCTCCATGAGCAGGGAAATTACTTACAAATATCACACATATCTCAAGAGAAAACTGGCAGTCTCAGAAAATCTACATTGAGTAACCACCTCTCTTCATGCTCGGCCTTTAGGAGAAGTCAAAATAAAAATTATATCCAAACAAAGGCAAATATTGCTCTCTTTTTTCCCCAGTAGCTGAAGTATCTCTACATTTGTTTGTCTTCTTATATGTTTGCTACCATCCAATGATGAATATGTAAAAGAAATTTCAGTACTTTCAGTAATTTCACTTTATAGGCAGTTTTGGCAATTAAAACAAGATTTAATTAGCATTACAAAGAACACCAGCAGGATAAGGGCACATGAGTACTATTTTCTGGGGCCCCATGTACTGCCATGCCAACATGCCAAAGGAATCAGTGCCAAGCACTTATTGTTTTGGCAGATACGTAAGTATAGTCTGTGGTTTACGGCAGCGAGTCTCCAAATGAGGCAGGATCATGACTGTGTAAGATTTACACATATCTATGCCACACTTTAGAAGATAACACAGACGCTGTTACACAGGGTGTAACAGGCGGTTACACCCCAAAAGTATACAATCCTGACAGAGTAGGAACTGTGAAGGAATACTTGAAAGGAGAGAGAGATGATGAATATTAATAAAAAAATGAATATTAATAAATTTCCCCCCCGTATTTAGATTTGGATGTTTTGGTTTTGTTTCATAAGTCTAAAAGTTATTTGATAACTGACCACAACTAATTTTAACCACCATTCTCTCAGCTCCTCAGCTCCTGCACTATCAAAGACCAGCTATTCCCTTGTTCTGCAATGCCCCGCTCCTTCACTCCCAAGCACATTACTTTGGGACACAATCCTTCCTCGACAACCTTTTAAAAACACTTCTCTTGGTCCAACTTTTCGCCAGCAATCTCTTCAGAAACACGATCTGTACGCTTTCGTGGGCCTAAACAGTCATCCTGAGTATCGCTCACCGTTAAAATCCCTCAGAACTGAATCTCGTTTTGGTGGTTATTAAATAAAGACCCCGAGCGTGTGGATCCGAGCAGCTGTCAGACATCCCATCACGGCTGCGGAGCGCCAGCAGGAACCTAGAAGAGACACAAGCACCACCCTGCACAGCTCTAAAGAGCAAGGGAAGATTTACTCACCCACAGCTGCGTCAGCTGCTCCCGGCGGGCTGCTCGGCCTGGCCGCCAGGCTCTGGGATATCTTCTGGACGAGGAGATAGACGGCGACGGCGGCCAAGAGGATGTACCAGCCATAGCTGGACAGCAGGGAGCCCACTGGGACGGGGACAAGCCGGAGGGGA